CTCCATGTGCGCAGAGTTGAACTGTGTCCCATAGGGTTCTGAAGGCAATGATCTTTCAGAAGCACATTTCCAGGCCTGTCTTCCAAGGTGCCTCTGGGTAGACTTGAACCTCCAACTTCCTGGTCAGTGGTTGAGCGCTTAACCCTTTACTCCATTAAGGAACTCTCAAAAATATATCACCACTTTGCATGGCTTCTTAAACAGCTTATACAAAACGTAACCTTGATGTGTTCATTCAGAGTTGTCACCAGTGGTATAACACGGTACTCTAGAAGCTGGCACAGCTGCCTGCCTCACCCTGCAATGACCCTTAAGCTTGAGTTTCTGTGTATGCTTGGTTCCTATTTCCTGTCGACTTTGCAAACTTTGTAATCACTATAGTCATTTTAGAGAGCGGGAAAAAGCAGGACATATACATATTCCTAACAGCCCATGGGCTGAGAGTAAATCAACTTCTAGTCCAGGTTCTCAACTGCGTATCTGCATAAGTGAATGAGAAAAAAACTTCAGATGTGTGTTTGCAACAAACCTCTACCCAAAACTCAGCATTTCTTCAAGCATGAATGCAGACAATAAGCCCTGGAGTTTTAGCAGTACCCATGACTTTTTCAGCAATGGAAATCACAATGTTCACAAAACATTACCATTGTCACAGAAATCTCAAAATATCAGTTATTCTCATCATTAATTCAAAAGAACAGTAATTCAACTTGCTGCTAGCTTGTGTTAATTAATAAAGGGCATATTACGGAACTTTATCATCAATTTGTTTTCTAATATTTTGATAACCACTTCTATATAATTAGCTTCCTTCTTGATCCTACTTTATTAAAAACATTCTTTATGATTCCAGAGGTCACAAGGTACAAGAACAGTTAATACCCCCTTGGGGCATACTCTTTGCATCACTTTAGCAGTTTGCTACCTATTCTTCTGAACAGTTTCATACAGTTTACAATTTGTAACAAATGTGAACGTTGTAAATAAAATGTTACTATTCGCATACAGTACTTTTCTAAGGAGCTCTAATACACTGCCACAGAAATGTACATATAAGTCAATCAGAGGACAAGATTCCCAACAGAGTACTTTTACACCCTGTATCATTAACAGTACAGGAGAAGAAAGTTTCCAGGTTCACAGCCTTTGAAACTCTAGGGCAGTTGTACTGTGTCCTATGGGCCGCTGTGAGTCAGAATCAACTGGATGGCAATGTTATTATTATCAATAACAGTGTAGCCTGTTACACACTCAAACTACCTGTTACTATTTTGAAGAAAGTCATGTTTCCCTACCCATGCTTCCTCGATTCTAATGCATTTTAAATCTGACACCTCCATCAACTGCTATGCTAAGAAAGCAGTGTCGGTTGACAATGAGCATTTTCAGTCTATCTAAAAAGGTACATTTTAGATTCAATGAAACATGTAAGTAGATGATTGTGTTATCACTCTCCATGCTAAGTAAATTAGCAGACCTGCTAGATCTCAGCAACCAGAGCAGTAAATTAAGGCAATGTTGTTGTTGTTGTTGTTATGTGCCATCGAGTCGGCCCTGACTCATAGCGACCCCTCCTTGGGTTTCCAAGGCAGTATCACTATGGAAGTAGGATTGCCCAACCTTCCTTCCGAGGAGTGGCTGGTGGGTTTGAACCGCCAGCCGTCTGGTTAGCAGGCAAGTGTCTTAGCCACTATACTACCAGAGCTCCCACTTAAGGCAATAGAAGAACATAAAAGTTTGAGTCCGTCAGCAGTCTTCCAAATCAATGTACTCACAACTCAAAAGTATCACCAATAACTATTCTAGCAGAGTTTTTATATTTCACTTAACTTTTTCCCTGTTAGTGAAGGCCATTTTTTCAATATACTAGGGAAAATTATGAAATGATGCTTAACTAAAGCTGCAGTGTAGTTTTTCTACACTATAGTGCAAAGTATCTAGTTCTAAGGAAAGTCAATGTTACGTAAAACTAATTCTTACGTAAAACTAATTCTTACAATTTGAAAAACTAAATTATCATTCCCTTAAAAAAAAAAAAGTGCCATCAAGTCAATTCCAACTCTGCGATCCTATAGGACAATGTAGAACTGCCCCATAGGGTTTCCTAGGCTGTAATCTTCACAGAAGCCAATTGCCACATCTTTCTTCCATGGAGTGGCTGGTGGGTTCTGGTGGATATGAACCTCCAACCTTTCAGTTAGCAGACTAGAGCTAAAACATTGCATCACAAGAGCTCTTTATCACGCCTTTAAACATGTCAAATATTTTCTGGATTGTTACAAGTCCACAATCAAATTTACCAAATGTTCACGTGTTTATGTATAGGCACACTCACACCCCCCTCCCAATATCTGTGACTTCTACTTTCATTGCTTTTATAGAAAAATTCTAAATACTAAATTCTAAGCCATATGGTAGGAGTCAAACATGACAAAAGATGGCCTAAGAAGTCTCAGAGCCACTATCAAAATAGGGCATTTCCAGAGCTACTAAGATGAAACAAAGCAAACTGCAAAAAGTTATGAAACGGTTTACATACAGCAAGAATCATTCTTTGAAAGTTATCAGGGGTGGGAGGGAAAGGGAAGGTAACTTACCAACTAAAAGCAATATACAATGAGTGGGAGGTAAGCCCAAAATGATTAAGGCAGTGGAAAACTCAGGGAGGAGCACAAGGGTTAAAAACAACAAAGGTGAAAACTATTAGACACAATCCTGCAAAAATAGTAAAAACAATAATCTATCAGTGGATACATAGATACTCAATTATGAGCAGGTTCACAAAGGCAACCAGCACTACTACACCCATGAATATACACAGATTTGGCAAAGGTTATCTCTACCTATTATTTGTATGTACTGCAAATATATCAATGAATGTAGTAGCGCATACAAGGGGCAAAGTTATGAAAACTTCATAGTCATAATTAAAAACCTTAAGGGAATGAGTTGCTAGGCATGGAGGCTCAGGACCACAATCTTGGGGGGCACTAAGGTCAACTGGCATAACACAGTCCACAAAGACAATGTTCTATATCCTACTGTGATGAGTAGGGACTGGGATTTTAAAGGCTTGTGAACTGCCATCTAAGGTGAAATTATTGGTATCTCCCTCTCCTGGAGAACAGTGAAGAAAATCAAATATGCAAGGAAAGAATTAGTCCAAAGGACTAATGGACCACGAGAACCCCAGTTTCCATGACCCTGAGACCGACCAGAAGAACTAGATGATGCCCGGCTACCGATACTGATTGCTCTGAAAAGGATCACAAAAAAAGGTCTTACATAGAGTGAAAGAAAATGTGGAACAAACCTGAGAATCATAAAAAAGGCCAGACTTAACTGGTCTGATGACTGGTGGAACCCCCCAGACTATGGACCTTAAGCAGTCTTCAAGCTACAAACTGAACTGAACCCCTTCACTCAACTTCAGCCAAAAATGGTCCTTTAAGGTGAACAATACCTGGAGATTATGCCCTCATTTGTGCATCAAACACATGCCATCAAGAGGAAAGCACATGCCCAGGGAAAGAGCTAAGAAGGCAGGATGGGATGGGAAGGAAGAGGAAAAGGGGTGAGCGCAGGCAGGAAATGGGAAAAATGCTGTTAAAGAGTGAGGATTGCAGTGAATCACAAAACAGAATGTATATGGATCGTTGAATGGAAAACCAATCTGCTCTGTGAATTTTCACTCAAATCTCTCTCACACGCACACAAACTCACACGCACAAATACAACCAAAAAAATAAAGCAGACTCAATGTTTAACTGATTCACGACTTTCTCTAAAGGAATGTAAAAAAGCACATCCAGAGGCCAGACCATGCCAAAGACTTCTAGCTATCTATTCCAAAATGGACATTTAATACAAACAATAGAGTTTTAACTAATTTCCAACAAAGGGGAACCTCCGCCCTCTCACAAGTAGCCCAGACGCCAGGCCATCCGAACACCGCGCCAGCTCCTCAGAAGCGGGCGCTGGGATCCTGCGAGGCGCCCTTCTCCACCCAAGACCCCGGCTGCTAGTAAGTAAAGCCCTCTGGGTAGAGGATCTCGTGGCCAGGCCGGTGTGTGAGTTTGGTCCGAAGGGCCGCTGCCCATCCCGTGCCCCGCGAACCCGGAGAAATCCCAAGCCGCAACTGGACACCCTTCTCGGAGCAGCGCGGACTACGGACCTGGGCAACTCGACTCCCCACCTTAAGCCGGGCTCACGCGCCGCAGCCGCCATTTTCCCGCCTCCCGGACCGCGTGCGCCCCTACACCCAGCTGACCCCCACGGTCGGCCACCCCGAAATCACGTCGCCCGGAGCAGCAGCCTCTGCTCCCCGCAAGGCTGCGCGCACCCCCCAATGGCCGCGACAAAAATCGCGGGGTTCTAGTCTGCCCAGTCCGGCGCGCGCCCCCGTGGCCCTGACTCCCCCGTCCCCTCTGGACCCGCGCGCCCCCGCGGCCTCAAGCACAGCCCCACCCCCGTGCGCGGCCCTGCTTCCCCGCTCCGCCCCCAGGCCCGCCCATGCTGGCCAGCGCGCACCCCGCGGACCACGCTCAGCCCCGCCCACAGCGCGTCCCCGCGTCCCGCTCCCCTCCCCCCTACTACCCGCTCCGCGCAGGGGCGCGCGCCGCGCTCCGAAAGGGACGGTTAGGAGCGCGCGCCTCGCAGCGGCCCAGAGCGGCGGCGGCGACGCCTTCCAGAAATTTCCTCCTGCCTAAACACACACTCAAAAACAAAATCGGTGCGACCCCGCGTCGGCTCCGGGTGGACAGCGCCCCCGCCCCGGCAGACACCCGCTCCCCTCCCCCATCCACAGCCCGCGCGCCCCCTCCCGCCCCCTGCCCGGGGCAGCAGGTCAAGTGTGGGCTCCCTTCTGCGCCGCCGGCCCGCCGCGACCCAGGCGACTGCGGCAGGGCGGCGGCTGTGGCGGCTCGGCCGGTGTGATTGATAGGGACGGCGGCGGCGGAGAGCTGCGGCGGCGGCGGCGGAGCGGTTGAGTGACAGCTTACCTGGGTGCCAATCTTCATCACACTGACAAGCGGCTGCAGCAATCGGGACCCGCAGTGCCGCGCCCGCGTCCAACCGTCACGCCGACGCTAGGCCACGCGACACAGCCTCGCTCAATGGGAGGAGGGCGACGCCGA